TTTCATTTTTATGATGAAACTTGCTTTTTTCCCAGTATATTTGAATAAAGTTTGGTAACAGTAGTGTCAAGCGTTCCCTTATGTGCTTTTATATATTCACTTTTTTGCAGAGGATGACTTCTATTTCAAGCTTGTTGATGACTTCCTTGGACCTCAGACTGGTGACTTATTGGGTCCAGAAGAAAAGCCCTGCACAAACCGGTTCTTGGTGCAAGTTGGACTGATGAGAGAGGAGAACGATGTTCCATGGGTCAATATATTAAAATGGCTTCAGAAAATTTTTCCCAAGAATGAGTCTGCAGATTTTCGTTGTTTGATTGAGAGGAACACTGAAACGGCTCTGAGCTTAACAGGAGATGCCAGGAAAAGCTTCCTTGAGTCAGATGTTAATTTTGAGTTTGTTGGCCCTATATGTGACAGCATTGGCATTGGACGAAGAGATTTGCTGGAAATGTCTGATTTTTCTGACCGTGCAGAGCTAACGGATGTTACTAATGGTCTGATATTGGAGTTGACCAGCTTTATTGCAAGAGAAAAAATTGACCCAGTTGTCTTGGTGTCATGGCTTCGTAACTTTGATCCCACATTCTGTAGCGATGGTAAGATCCAGAAAGCCAACAAGCTCCTTCAGGCCAGTCTAAAAAAGTTTAGGATACAGTACCGAAACAGTCAGAGGAGCAGGAACAGGAGCAGTGGATTGTTTGACGAATTTCTTCACAGTCCGTTTGAACTTGTTTCTGATCTTGATGACTTGGAGTACAGGAGGGCAGCAGTAGTCAAAGGTCTTTGGAAAAGGAAACAGCTTAGATTAACCCAAGAAGAGTCTAATTTCCAGACGCTTAAGATCAAGGAGGAAAACGAACCCTTTGATATCTCAGAGGATAATGCTTCATCTGGGTATGGAAGAAGCAAGGACTCCTACCAGGCACCCCACCTGATAGATGTCAAGGAGGAATATGATCCTGAAAGTATTAGGAGTGACCCTGCGCAGGTCCAACCGCTAGACTTGGAAGAAAACCCTCCATCTGACACAGGTGATTGTGTTACTCTACTTGATACATCTTTCATGTCTTTGCAAAAGCTTACGGAACTGTACGGAGGAAAGAATGAAACCGCTAAAAAGGTTTCTATGGATCTCCTCAAGAATCAGTTTTCTCTCATGCTTAGAGAAGACCTTAAAATGAAGTCCCTGAATGAGAAGGTCACGGTCCATGCCGTGGCTGAAGAGGATCAACCTGTATTGCCACCTCTCAGCTTTCTTCAGTGCACCACTCATTTCCTTTTTGATGTTGTTGATGCAGTTGAGAAGCAGATAATGTCATATGAAAGGGAGATTGTGAACAATACAGGGGACAAGCTTGGACGGGACAACAACCCAAGATTTCGAAGTTTTGTGAACTTCGACGAGAGTGCAGTCACCCGTTACATCCACATGGCTTGTGAGATCTTGTGTCCAAGAGAAGAAACCAGCAGCAGTTACCGAAGGCACTGGCTTGCCTTTTGCATCGAGAGGAATAATCCTTCCACGTTACCGATGAATCGGTCAAATAGGTTCATGAACTATTTTGAAGCAGCAGCTGGACTTGTTCACCATTACAAGGATGTTGCTCTGTTTGTTTCTGACCTGCAGCAACTGAATGATGATTCAAATATCCTTCTCGATAGTGTCAGTGATGATGCAAGTGATGAGGCTATACAAACTCTAGCCTGTGTGGTGGCTGTTGTGTACTGTAAAGTGTTGGGTCCCTTCTGGCAGCTTCTGAAGAGTGATGCGCAGTACTCGCTGTTCAGTAAGTACATCTTCTGCCTTTATGAGAAGCTCCTGGAGTGGTCCCAAGATGTCTCGGCTTTGCTTCGGCCTGAGCCTCTGATCAATGTGTTCCTCCAAGTTCCGATGCAAGAGAAGAATTTTTCAGGGGTTTTTGGATTCTGCCAAGCAAATGCAGACAACCAGTTTGGGACACTATTGAAGGTGTGTTTGCAACGGATGACACAGATCCTTGCAGCCGTGATGGAGGAAGATCTCAAAGATTTCTTACCTGGAGGCAAATACTGCAAAGAACCTTCTCCAGAGCTTGTAGAACAGTTATCAGATTGCACGTTTTCCCAGCTGATGGGTGAGTACCCCTTCGGTCATACCTACTCCTACAACAAAAAGAGACCAGACAAAGTTCATGTCCAGACAGAGGGAAGCACACCAGAGGACTCTGCGAGGCTACCCGTTGCTTCACCCCAGGGGAAGACTACTTCACCTGAAGTTCCTTCCGGACCTTTCATGAAGCGTAGGACATCAAAGCCGTACGTCATGTTTGAAAGAGCGAATCTGCGACCTCTTGAGAGAATAAAGAAGAAGAGGTTACAGTTGATTGACCAGAGGCAGAAAGTTCAAAGGCAAGACCAGTTTTATAAGAAAATGATTGTTGCCGCAGTGGCTAAAAATGGTGGCCCCTGTAAAACGGTTCAAGATGTTGATAGACTGCTCACGCAAATGGAAGGAGCGCACCACGCTCAAAAGCGAGCGGCCATCCGATGCGAGTTAACCTACCAGAAGTTTATGGCTGGATCCAAAGAGAAAAAGCCAGAGCACATAGGCTTCTCTTTGGGAGACATGGTCTCCAAACTGAAAGCCATCTTGCCGAGTGAGAAAAGTGCAGCAAGCCTCGCCTCCGCACCAACTACGAATGTTGTTGTCCATGTTGGGGGTGATGGAAATCAAAGTAGTGACGTTGCACCGGACGTGTCGGAACCACAAGAGGACCCAACGAATCAACCGTCCCAGCCTTTGAACATCGATGTGGGGAACAGAGGCAGACAAGTTGTCTTGCAGAGTTATAGGGAGAAGTTTTTCGATGAGTTTGCACCCATTTCATAGCTAAATGGAAAGGAAATGGTAGGGTGGTAAATTAACATCAAAACCAATGTTGTTATTTTACCGTCATAGCCAACTTTTTTCTCTCCTCCCAGTCTTTTTTACAGTCTTACAGTCTCTACTTTTTTACAGTCTTAAAGTAAACATACACCATAATGTTTTGCTCAGAGGCATTATTTTTCTATGTGCTTATTGCTGTTAAAGCTGCTTTTAAATAAAAAAAAGACATCTAAACAATGTTGTTCAGTGCTTATTATTCAGTACATATCAATATTGTATTAATGTACTACATTATTATTCTGTGAGCTTATATCACAACTGCACTGTGAAATCAATTTGTAAGCTGTGGATTAGGCCAGAATGAGTTATTTACATACAGTACTCTACATACGTCTTGTGCTTGTGAGAAAATATGTAAAGCTGTTTATCTGGGCAGTAAACAATCAATTGTAATTTGAAGAGAGTTCTCATTAAGGAAATCCAGTGTTTACAGTTACCATCCAATTTCTAATCAATCAATAAATTAAATTAAATCAGATGCTGCTGATCAAATTTGGCACTGAACAATTTTTCTTTTTTTGTCCAAACAAAGAATGTGTATATATATATAATATTTTAAACAAATTTCGACGCCCCTAGTCAAATTACATGTTTTGTTGATTTTTTAAGTGGGGGAAAAAAAGTTAACACATCCTATAACTTTTGAACAGACCATATTGTATTATTTGTTTGGTTTCTTATAAACAGTAATTGCACTTTTTATTGAACGGAAGTGTGTTCTTTATGACGTACTTACTATTAACTTAGAAAATTAAAAAAATGTCTTTTAAACCTTTGCATACATGTATATGTACATATAAAAGCCTTCATTGTATTTGAACATATATTGGATATATGACATTAATTTACTCCTTTAATTTTACACAGGTGGAGATCAATTCTTGATAAACTCAATAAGTATAGAGGAGAAATTGAGGTTTTCTGCAAACAGTCAAGTCTGAATTAACCCTTTAAAATCTTTGGCTTATTGCATATTAAGGCTTATTTTTCATTGACTACAGAGACTTCAGTGCAGCCTGTTTGAGCTATTCTTAAGTTATAGAAGTGTGGAATAAAACCTCAGGCCCCCCGGCAGGCCCTGACCATGTAAGGGGTCAAGTAGTTGTAACTTAGTTACCAGAATCTGGCTGTATTGGCCAAAAAATGTTCATTTGAACAGTAGCTGACAGTAGAAATTTTCAATCATGTGGTCACACCTGAATTCTTCACTGCCCACATACACAGCCGTCCATTTTCAAAAGCATTCACACATTTGTACACAGAAGTTGTGCATAGTGCATTTGTAAAGTACAGAGTGCAACAGTTTTCTAGGTTCTTTCCTTGTTTAAACATTGAATTTGAAAAGCATGTGAATATTAGGCTTATCAGTGATCACATAGTTGCCTCACAATTATTCAGACTGACCACAGTTGTTTTCTACAGTCACTAGTCTTTTCCCAATCATAGTGTATCACGACAAGCAAAATATGGAATGGATGCTTTTTCATCAGTAGTTTTAAATGAATTAATATAAATTAGAGAAAGTGGGAAACATGTTCCTCTGGGGAACGTTAAGCGTTTTTTGGAAACAAACAAAGGTTCTGACTTTTAACTGGCTATAACGTTTTGGGGAATGTTTCTTGCTTGTGTTTTGTTGGCTAAGTAGCTAAAGCTAACTCTACCATGTTTGCTTGCTGAGCATTTTTCCCTCACATGTTCACTTACTCCAGAAAAATGTAAGCTTGGAATGCTTGCACCTGATTTTGTGTACATAAACACTTGAGTGAGCGCACACAAACAGTGCAGCGAGTTACTTGATATCAGTACAAACTTGTGTTCCCTCCAAAGTAAACATAGCTCGGAAGCAAGACAGCTAATCAGTTGATTTCACTGCTTTAGGCTTAAACTTTAATAGTGACGTAAAATTAGCAATACAATTAAATTTAAATGTCGTGATTTGGACAGGCCTATTTAAAAATAATGAAATTAAATAAACATAAATACTAAATTGTCATTACTTATGCATTTATAAACACAGTACTACTAATAGCCATTGGGCAGTAATGGGAAAGGAACGCTTTGTTTTTGTTAGAGGCCTGCAGCTAAATGGCGGACGCATGGTGGAATCGTGCCTTTGTAACACACATTCTGGTGGCCTTGTTTGGAATGGGATCATGGATATCTGTGAACTCACTCTGGGTTGAACTGCCTGTGGTTGTGAACATCTTGCCAGAAGGTAAATTATCTCTGCGTAAACATTTTAATAATTTTAAAAACATTATGCACACATACTCACTGAACACTTTATTAGGCACACCTACCTTTTATCTACATTTATTGCCCATTTTATCAGCTCCACTTACCATATTAGTGCAGTACGGTTACAGACTGTAGTCCATCTGTTTCTGCATACTTTGTTACCCCACCTTTACCCCTTTCATCAATGGTCAGGACCACCACGGAGCAGGTGTTACTTGGGTGGTGGATCGTTCTCAGCACTGCAGTGACGCTGATGTGGTGGTGGTGGTGGTATGCTGCTGGACAGAGAATAGTCCACCAACCAAAAATATCCAACCACAAGCGTCCTGTGGGCAGCATCCTGTGACCACTGATGAAGGACTAGAGGATGACCAACACAAACTGTGCAGCAGCAGACGAGCTATCGTCTATGACTTTACATTTACAAAGTGGACCTACAAGGTAGGAGTGTCTAATATAGTGGACAGTGAGTGGACACAGTGTTAAAAACTCCAGCAGCACTGCTGTGTCTGATCCATTCGTACCAGCACAACAGATGCTAACACGCCACCACCACGTCGGCCCGTTTGTGTGTGTGTGTGTGTGTGTGTGTGTGTGCGCACGCAGCACTGTGCAAAAGTCAGATACAACCCTTCATCTTTAATTTTTCAGTCAAAATTGCCATTAAGTGCATGTTGTTGTATCAGGAGGTATTTCTGCTAAGAAATAGTCCACTTCCGTAAGGAAGGAGAAGGTCAAAGAAAAACATGGGAAAGACACAGAGGTTTCCAACACTCTCAGAAATAAAGGTAGTAAACTGTCACTGGGGCAGTGCCCCTCTTATCACTGGGGTGGGACCCTCAAGGGTACATCTCAGTACCTTTAGCCAGGGAACATAACTGAACCATAATCCACTGAAATGATATGTTCTAAGCTGTACTGACTCCACACACCCCGTCTCGTCTCCAGGACTTTTATTTTACTGTTCTGTTTTAAAACATTCGGTTATGAAAAGGTACAAATACGAACTTTTCACCTGGAAAAACTTATTTAAGGTTCAGAATCAGACCTTAAAACCACTGTTGAACCTTTGAGGGAAGATTTACATTGTTTGTACCTTGATGAACGAAAAATGTACCAGCACAGCACCTTTATTTCTAACAGTGAACAGTTAAAAAAAAATATTAAATGCTACAAATAAAGTGGGGCTCCTATCAATCATACAAGACCTGGTAGACAACAAAACTGCCCCCATCAGATAAACAGCATTTAAAGCTTTCATCTTTGAGAGAGAGGAGAAAATCAAGCTGCTTCAGATCTGAAAACATCCATATCCATCCTTCCACTGTGAGAAGACGACTCAGCGCTGTGGGTCTGAAAGGATGTGTAGCTGTCAAGAAGAACCTCACTGAGAAAAGGACAACAGGCAGAAAGCATAACCAATTTCTAAGACTGAACTTTGGAGGTGTGTCTGCAGTTTTCTTTGAGAAACTGAAAGTGAGTCTCCTGAAAAAAACAAAAGCTGTAATAAAGGTAAAGAATTAATAATATATTTAGGCCAATTTAACTCGAAAGTAAATAAATATAGGGTGATCTCTGACTTTTGCACAAGTAATGCTCCCTTTCTGTATTGACCAACATGCTCTGATCAGGCATAATGTTATGACCACCTCCTTGTTTCTGTTTGTTGCCCATTTTATCAGCTCCACTTACTATATAGGTGCACTTTGTAGTTCTACAGTTACAGACTGTAGTCCATCTGTTTCTCTGCATACTTTGTTAGCCCCCTTTTACCCTGTTCTTCAGTGGTCAGGACCCTATGGACCCTCACAGAGCAGGTACTATTTGGGTGGTGGATCATTCTCAGCACTGCAGTAACACTGACATGATGGTGGTGTGTTAGTGTGTGTTGCGCTGGTCTGAGTGGATCAGACACAGCAGTGCTGCTGGAGTTTTTAAACATCTCTGTCCACTCACTGTCCACTCTATTAGACACTCCTACCTTGTCGGTCCACCTTGTAGATGTAAAGTCAGAGACGATGGCTCATCTGCTGCTGCACAGTTTGTGTTGGTCATCCTCTAGTCCTTCATCAGTGGTCACAGGACGCTGCCCACAGGACGCTGTTGGCTAGATATTTTTGGTTGGTGGACTATTCTCAGTCCAGCAGTGACACTGAGGTGTTTAAAAACTCCAGCAGCACTGCTGTGTCTGATCCACTCAGACCAGCACAACACACACTAACACACCACCACCACGTCAGTGTCACTTTAGTGCTGAGAATGATCCACCACCCAAATAGTACCTGCTCTGTGAGGGTCCATAGGGGTCCTGACCACTGAAGAACAGGGTAAAAGGGCTACAGTCTGTAACTGTAGAACTACAAAGTGCACCTATATAGTAAGTGGAGCTGATAAAATGGACAATGAGCGTAGAAACAAGGAGAAAGGCTTTATTTATAGCTGATGCAATCTTCTGTTTACTCTATTTGTAGGATGGAATCTGCCAGCCTATCTCTCGGTGCTCATTGCCTTTGGGAATCTGGGACCGGTGGCCGTCACCTTAACCCACCACTTTGCTCCTGGACGTCTGAATGAACGCGTGGTCATTCCCAGCATTCAAGTGCTGGCAGTGGTTGCTTCAGCCTTTCTTGCCATCTTCTGGTCCCGGGTCACCACAGTTGCCGGGGAGTCAAGATCTCTGCCGTTCCTGCTGCTGACGTTCGTGCTATCATTTGTATGCTGCACCTCCAATGTCACCTTTTTGCCCTTCATGTACCGCTACCCCCCAGAGTACATCCGCACGTTTTTTGTGGGCCAGGGGCTCAGTGCCCTCTTTCCCTGTGTCGTGGCGCTGGGGCAGGGCGTGGGGAAGCTGGAGTGCGTTGAGACAGAAAACGGCACGCAGGCTCACCGTCTCAAAGAGAACTTCCCTGCACAGGACTTCTTCTGGTTCCTGTTTGTCATGCTGACGGTCTCGGCCCTCTCCTTCCTCGCTCTGATGTACAGAGTTGTGGCACCTGCGGTAGCGAAGGACACTCAGGCCCCAGAGCAACAGCTGGAGAAAGATCAAGAAGAAGAAAACCCATTAAAAAACGGAGGGACGCCATCGTCTGAGGAACAAGTGGACGTGGAAAAACAGACCCCTGCCGTGTCGTTCTGGACTTTGAACAACATCTACCTGCTTTTGCTGCTTGGAATCTCCAACGCTCTGACTAATGGAGTGCTGCCATCTGTGCAGAGCTTCTCTTGCCTGCCCTACGGCACCATGGCCTTTCACCTCTCTGTTGTCTTGGGAAACATTGCAAATCCTCTGGCGTGCTTTGTGGCCATGTTCGTTCTGCTAAGGTGGGTTCACGGAAGAGTTTGAGGATGTCAGTCTCTCTTCAAATAGAGCACATACACTGAGCTGCCAGTTAGGTTCCCTTACCTTGGAGCTACACTTGATGGCCATTTTATCAGAAATACATACTATGCAGGTGTTTACAATCAGAGACTGTAGCTCATCTGTTGATTCACCATTGATCACAGTTTTATTGCCCCTTTCTACTGGATGTTATTTGGGTAGTGGTCCAGACTTACCGCAGCCGTGACACTGACATGGTAGTTGCATGATGTCAGTCTTCAGTCATACTTGGGCTTCAAATCAGGTCGAATCAGAATTGCTTTATTTTGGTGAGGATGTTACACCATACAAGGACTCGGCTGTCCTGATTATGCGCTGGAGTTTGGCTTGTTCTTGTGAGATGGAGTAGCCAAGCTAGATGGTTATAGGTGATGTGATCTCTCACTTCAGGTCTCTAGAAATGGTGGTGCCAGGAGCTTGAGTAACTCCACAGTGGAAGCCACAGAGCCATTGATGTTGAGGTGGTAGGGGGAGGGTGGTATTGGGGGGCCTGAATTAAGTACAAGTTATCCATCATCAAAGCCTTAACAATATACACAATATGTATAAATATAATATCACATTTTCAGTATTTCTGTCCTCTTTTTATCTTTATTACAGCTTTCATTCTTCTCAGGAGATTCACTTTCAGTTTTTCAAAGAAATATGTTATGTACTTTATTGGTCCTATGAGATAAATTCATAGTTTTGCTGCCTATCTGTGCCCAATCTGGGAGCCGCATAGCGTCGCCAGCAGAGCAGCGCTGCCTGGGGCAGTGGGGGGTTTAAGTGCCCCAAGGGCGCAACCAGGTATACCTAGTCTGGTTGATGGCTCACCTCTCCTACCACTAGAGTACCAGCCACCCGAATCTTCAGGGATTTTTTTTAAATGAATAGCAAAAATGGGCAGCTCAGTGTGTGTGTGTGCTTTTGTTTGTGTTATTTCAAATCAGTCTCCAAATTATTTTGTACAACAGGAACTGTTTGATTGCATTTTTGAAATGTTGACTGTAGTAAGCTTTAAATGACTCGTCTGCCCTGTCACAGGTCTAGTGCTGGTCTTGGTATTATGTCTCTCGGAGGATGTGTTTTTGCTGCCTATCTCTTGGCTCTGGCTGGTCTCAGTCCCTGCCCACCCCTGCTGGGAAGTCATGCGGGAGTGGTTGTTGTGGTAAGTAAAAAAAAAATGTTTTTATGCAGCTTTGACTGACTCATGGAGTTTTGTGGTTTTACTTGTGTTTTTATTATGAAGCATAACTTCTCCAGTATTTTTGTATTTAGTTCTCATTTCTTTACTGCAAAATTGACCAAAGGCAGATTTTCTTGGCTAATTTTTATTGTAATTTATTTGCTCTTTAATAAGCCAAATTCTTAAATGAAAAATTTAGCTGCCTATTTCAAATAACATGAATTGCTACATCAAAAATAAGAGGAAACTGCTTAGGTGGCACAATGAGTCTTGCGTAATTACATGCATCACTTCATTACATCATAACTGCAACACAGATCAGCCAAAGTCAAAATGATAAAGTAGCCGATCGCCAAACACGCGTTTGGGGCAGAAATCTGCTGATTCCATGTGTCCATCCCTACTGCAGTACTGTATACTGTCCAAAATCTATTAATGTGGTTATAGAATGATTTGATTGGGAATTTAAAGGTGTAAACTAACTGACATCATATCCCAAAAAGGATGTACAGGATTGACGCTAAACATTGTGAAATCTGCCTGCAGCAAACAAACCACACAGCAATTAAAGGTGCAGACTTGAAGTGGCTGCATCACAGAAAACTGACTTTCACTTTGTGTTATTGAATAATGCAACACCTTATTACATTATTGGGAATTTATTACATTGTTAGGTTGACCATATCACTGTTGTCGGAAGAAAACCTTGTGTCTCCAAAATGGTAACTTTACAGGAGAAGGAAAAAACACACTTTACTTTTAATGTAAGTCAATGGAACCAGACTTTCTTCCAAGTCATTTTGGGTCAGTTCTTTTAGTCCATTCATCATGAAATTTACACACAACGTAAAGAGCAACAGGCATTTTCAAATTATGTCAAAAACTGAAAAACAACAAAAATGGAGATACGAGGTTTTCTCCCGACAACAGCAAAATTTACAATTCTGTATTGTAATAATTCTCCAATAATGTAATAATCCTTAAAATGGAATTAAAAAAAATTAACTTGGTCAAAAATGTAATAAAACCCAATAATGTAATAACCTCACCCCATAATGTAGTACAGTGTTTTAACTGATAGTGTAATGAACCTTTCACTAAATATGTAATACCTTGTACTTATTACGCTGTTGTATTACATTTTCAGGTTTATCATATATAATGCCTTATTACATTACTGCAAATGTATTATATTTAAAGTTGACCATTTGTGCTCAGTATTTTTTTTTTTCCAAAATGGATGATGTAATACTGAGATGGTGTAATACTAAGGATGTTAAGAGCAGTTACCAGATGTCTTCTACAGTGCTTCTGTGCTCTGCAGGAATCAACACAGCCAGGAATTAGTCAGTTTAAGAAGAGTTTATTCTTCTTTCAGTAAGAGCCTCTGCTTTTAAGACCTCTTGTAAGACTTGTTTCTGACTATAACTTCAACTTGCCTAGTCTGGACAAAATAATACGGTCTTATGAACATTCAGATGACCTAAATTATATTTATGATGTAGTTAAAAGTGGAGGCTCTTTCTGAGAATAGAAGAATGAACTCTTCTAAGACTTTGTCTCATCGATGCTCCCCTCATTCCAGGGTTATTTCCTTTGTACAGTCTTACACAAAAGCACTGCAGAAGACCTTTGGTAGCTGCTCTTAAAAGTATTAAATCATCCATTTTGAAAACAAGTTTGAGAAACAATGATAAATATAATACATTTCCGAAAATGTAACAAGGTGTTACACTATTGGTAAAAGGTTCATTACATTAGCCTTTAAGTACGTTATGCAATATACATTATCATATTACATTATTTGGGCGAGTTATTATTGGGTTTTATTACATTTTGAAGTTAAGTGCGTTTTTTTTTTCCTTTTTAGGGGTTGTTACATCAGAGGGGAACCGTCAGGGCCCTCTATGCCCTCAGAGAGGGCCTAAGATCTTCTAAAAATACTATTTTAAAATTGAGCAGTTCTAGTTTTATCTGATTGTATTTTGACAATCAACATCTAAGCAAATAAGTCCATCAAACCTGCCTATTCAGTTTGTACTGGAATGTGAAAGGTTAAATTAAAGAAGCCCCTTTATCTCCCCCTATCAGAATTTAGCTGTATCTGCTGAAGCTGGAAAGAATGATAGTGACTGGTGGTCCAGCTATAAATTTACAGAGGGCCAAGCAATAGTGAATCAATGAGAGACAAATTTCAAATGACAGTAAAATCGACCAATCGTGTCTTCTCTCTAAATGGGTGGGCTTTGTTATCGCTAACTTTATGACAAGTTCTGCCCACTGGGGTGACACGCGGGCTCTGGGGACGAAGCTAGCGAAAAAAGCTAGCTAGCTTGTTGGTTCGTGATGGAAGCTGAGAGTAGCGTTACCGCTAGTGAGGAAGACGTCGCTGTGAATTTATTATCTATACTGTTTTCTAGATTAACTATTAATGAAAACTTGGAGTTAATCAGCAAAGGACGACCTACTCCAGAGCTTAATCTGGTGCAAAAAAAGGCTTTTGAGAGGCGTTTCAACTCCAGCAATTACACCATGATTCCCCCTGGATGACAAGATCAACCAAGGAACAAGAGCTCTACTGTTGGAACTGTTTGCTGTTGGCTTGAGAAGCAATGGTTGATTAATTTAAAGCAAAGGATCAGATGCATGATCCCGCCATCAACCACTTCATCCAAAAAGACAGGAGGATGGACTTCAGAGGGCCGAGGTTTAAGAGTCACGGTTCGCTACTGTGTTATATTATTGGGAAATTATTAAAATAGCTTAGCCCCGCCCTTTCCCTCAGAGAGTTTCAGCCCGAACTGCTTTTTGAATAAGGCAAAAATCAGGGCAGAACACATTTACATACATTGGTCTTAAAGGCAAAGTAACAGAGACGAAATGAAGTACGACTGCTTTTATTACATAAACCCACACAAACATCATAAGCAGACTTCAGAGAGCAGACTACAAGAAGTATGTAGGACCTGGGCTCAGTTTCATATTTTGAGTCTGAATGTATCTCTTCCCTCAGGTGATCTCCTGGATCATCTTCACGGGGTTGTTCTCCTATCTGAAGGTGGTGGTGGGGACTTTGCTGCATGAAGCAGGTCACACTGCTCTGCTGTGGTGTGGGGTCTTCATCCAGGCGGGCTCTCTCGTTGGAGCACTTACGATGTTCCCGCTGGTCAGTGTTTACCATGTCTTTCATCAGGCTAAGGACTGCGTCAACAACTGCAGCTAAGACTAGTGGGAGCGCTTCATCACGTTCATCTTGTGCCTTTTTATGGTGGGTCGCGCTACACAGGGGAAGACGTCTGAAGGCTGGTTGGAACTTCTACACTTCGGAATTATGAAGAAGCATTGCTTTTTGGAAAATAAATACAGTGTAAGCACTGTAGGAATTTCTTTTACCATAAATATAGCCTGCGTTAGGATATTTGCAGTGCCAGTTACCTGGTGCTGGGTGAGTTCCTATCTTTTCTGATCTGGGTGCCCAGATTTGTGCCAGTATGTACCAGCTGACAGCAGCACTTTGTAGAAGCAGTGCTGATTTATCCACAATACAGTGCAGTTGAACCAAGTCATGCAGACACCAAACTGACTAGTACTCAGGGGAATAAAACTACACTCTTAAAGATTGTTCTTCAAGGGTTCTCTGATAAAGACAATGGTTCTATGTAGAACATAGACATCAACACACAAATTTGCATGCTTAAAGGGTTCTTAAATGGTGAAATGGAGGATGTGTTGTATATGGTTCAATATAGCACCAAAAAGGCGAACTTGCAACTGTAGCAGAAACCTTTTTGGTGCTGTATAGAACCATTTTCCTAAAGGCTTTATGTAGAATCAGATACAACATATTCTCCATCAGTCTGAAGAACCATTCATGCAACGAACCCTTTAAGCATGCAAATGCTTGTATGTGTGTTCATAAAAGAACCCTTGAAGATTTACATGCTTAAAGGGTTCTTTGCATGTGAACTGGCTCTTCAGATTCATGGGGAATGTCATGTATATGGTTCTGCATAGCACCGAAAAAGAGTTTTCTATTGTTACGGACTTGACATTGTAACAATAGCAGAACCCTTTTTGTTACCATATAGAACCCTTTTCGAAGAGGTTCCATATAGAACTACCATCTACAACACACTGCAATCTGCAGTCTGAAGAACCCATTTGCGGTGCAAAAAGCCCTTTAAGCATGTAAATGGTTCTTTGAGTCTTCATGGTTCTGTATAGAACAGTTGTTTTTACTAAAGAACCCTTGAAGAACCATCTTTTTTAAGAGTGTGCCCACATCAGCAGACGTTCTGCCCTTTAACTTTTTTACCCACAGGACAAAGAGCAGGTCTTCTTGACAAAAGATGGTGTTGATTACACGTCTGCCAAGTATGTTAAAGGGCTATCCTGCATTTTTTTTTCCAATATTTCTACGTAATGTCGACAAAATTCTGAACTTTTATGATGTAAATCGTTCATGAACAGTGATTTGATGTGAACTGTTCTAGAGAAACTAAGTCAGAATTGTTCACAGTGGTGGTGATAGGTAGCCCTGTCACAATTAATACATAATCAACTAATCACAATTATTAGAGAAGATCACAGTTGTTTAACCTGACTGCAGTCATTTTCCACAGTCATTAGATTTCACTATAATATTAAGCTGAATGGGGTGCACTGAGGCAAATTGAAAGCAGTAAATGCCTTCGTTGAGACATTATGAGGGTTATGAAAATAAATAAATGTGCTTGGTGCATAAACATATTTAAAGGGCAGTGCTGAGTAATGTTTGTAGCTAATTCTAACATTTTTAGCATGTAAGCTGGCAGAATGAGTGTTTTTTGGCTTGTGGTTTCACTCTGGTGAAGAACATGTTACTTTGCTCGACTCCACACACAATTCTGTGTAACTGTAGACATTTGTCTGAGTGTGTGCACAATAGTATTGATTAACCAGCGTTAGCTACTAAGTAAACATGCTAGCAAGCAAGCCAACCAGCCAGTTTGGCCACTTGAGATCATTTTTGTAGTTTATAGTTGCAATTGGCAAACAAGAAAAGACAATTAAATTGTTAATCGCACTTATTTATGACAATTAATTTTCAGCTAAAATGTAATGAACTTTAATGCCTCTTAAAGCTATTAGATTATGAATACACTGCCTGATGCCCAAGACATTTTTAGGAGAGTTTTGAGCAGGTTTTGACCTAAAACAACTGAGGAGGTGAGGTACATGCAGGGCAAAGTAATTCACAAAGAAAGTACTGTTTTACCATCTTCCACATTATATACATCGTCATTTCCAAAAAAGGTGGGACACTGTGCAAAATATAAATAAAAATCGAATGCAACGATATGCAAATCGTGTAAACCCTATATTTAACAAACACTTTGAAATGTTGAAACTGAGAAATGTTGTTTTTTGAGAAATATATGCCCATTTTGAATTTGGTGCCTGCAACACGTTCCAAAAACGTTGTGACGGGGCCTGTTTACCACTGTGTTTCATCACCTCTTCTTTTAACAGCACTCGTAAGTGTTTGGGAACTGAGGAGACACTGCTGTAGTTTTGGAAGTGAAATGTTTTCCTATTCTTACTCAAAAAAAAACCATATATATATATATATATATATATATATACACACAGTCAGGCCAGTTAAGTACATGCACTCTTTTACTGTGGAGCCATGCTGTTGTAATACATGCAGAATGTTGTTTGTCATTGTCTTTCTGAAATTAGCAAAGCTTTCCCTGAAAAAGACGTCGTCTGGATGGCAGCATATGTTGCTCATATGTTATGTTTGTCATATGGTATGTTTGCCATGTGCTCTAATGCACCCCTGTACCATCACATGTGCTGCGTTTGTGTGCTGGAGATACTTGTTTGTTTTTTTTTTCCATTTTTTTTGGGGATATCGACGCTATGCTGTTAATATATGCTCAGCCTCAACTTCTTTGTTTGATGATTTGTCATTTTATTGTGTACATGTGAAGTCTAAGCAGCTTTTGTAACTGTGAAAAAACTGCCTGAGCCATTAGTCAGTCTTTGTATATGAAAAACATTTTAGCACATCACATAGGATGTGCAGCACCACCCTGAGGCTGAAAACATATTCCACAAATAAACATTCTAGTGTGAGAGAGTAACTCACCTGTATGCAGACTCTGAAATACCTACATTACATGATTACAGTTCAAGCTTAAATAAAAATAGCCTGGTCAAAGTACATGTTTTGTTGCTTGAAGTGAAAATTTGCTTGAAACCAGAAGTTAACGCACCCTCACACAAGTTAACACATGCTAATGCACAGTTTTTATTTTAATGTTTATTTGCTGAATTTATTATATTGTTGATATATAGACATAAATAAATACCTAATTTTTGAGTGTTTTTATTGCCTTGTTGAAAATGAAATTATAACTCTGTGTAAACAACAGCAGACAAAAACAACAAAAACTGAGATTCAATGTTCAGACAGCTTCAAACTAAAACTATTTGAATCTTAAAATAGGTTTCTTGTATAATAAGGGCAGTAATGACTGTATTGAAATGAAATCGTTAATCAAAGATGAGTCCGTTAATTTTTTTTTCATTAGTTTTTTTCTGAAATCCAGTCAAGTAACACTCCCATTGTAAGAGGTTCTGTTACTAAGTTAGTCAAATGGAAATGAATGCAATTTTCTGAATCTTTGTCAATGCACTTCTATCACTGTAGTAAATGTGTGGAAGAATGTTGTTAAACGGTTAATTAGTTGGTATTATTATTATTATTATTATTATTATTATTATTATATTATATATTATATTATTATTATTATTATTATTTTTGTTTTTCCCCCACACTGTTAGATTTATTGGTGAAATCCCTCAAAATTTCAATCACTATGGCTGTTTTGTTCAGATTCCTTTCTATTCAGGTATATTTTATATGCATGATGTATATAAAGCTTTTTTTCTCTAACCTACCTTTATACACATCAGTTTATTTTTTTACAGTTATTTTAGGAACAATTACAAGAACTGGTAACAGTTTATAATAACAGGCCCGTGTCAAAACCAACATAATCGCATATGTTTATGAATGATAGCCAAAAATTATATTATTGTTACTTGTGCATCAAGAAATGCTACCATTTTAATTATTAACCTCTTACTTACTGACCTACAGATATCACTTGGAATTTTTTTATAGACATATTACGTTTGAGTTTAATCAGTAGTATGATCTTTATAAGTACAGTCACAACTTTATAATAGGGGTCCAGTGATGATTATTAACGATTTACCACTTAATAATGATTAACTGTCTTTTTAATGTATTTGCATCGCACAGTAACAAGATCTTAAATAACTGCTTAATCATTTAAAACAGGGCAATAAAATCACAATTATGAATTGTTTATATGCAACAGAGTCGTCATACACAAAAGTTTTGGCACCCAGGGTCAAATTATGTTTTGCTGACTTTCTCAGTGAAAATGAGTTAGCACGTCCTCTGCAGACATAAGTATGGCATTTGCTGCTAATATAATGCACTATTTCTGTTTATTTGTTGAGTCTAAGGTGGCGCAGCGGGTATTGTTGTCGCCTCACTGCAAGAAGGGCCTGGGTTTGATTCCCCAGCTGGGCGACTGAGGTCCTTTCTGTGTGAGGTTTGCATGTTCTCCCTGTGTCTGTGTGGGTTTCCTCCCACAGTCCAAAGACATGCAGTCAGGCTAATTGGACACACTAAATTGGCCCTAGGTGTGAATGTGTGTGTGGATGTATATGTCTGTGTGTCTGTCTGCCCTGTGATGGAATGGTGACCTGTCCAGGGTGTATCCTGCCTTCCACCCAATGACCGCTGGGACAGGCAGATTGCCAGTCCACCACAGGGCAGACACACAGACATACACATTCACACCTAGGGCCAGTTTAGCATCTCCAGTTGGCCTGACTGCATGGCTGTTCCACTATGTAGTTTTAAGTTTTAAGTTAGACTGACCTCATTATATTGCTATAAAGGACAAGAATCACAAATTAACCACACACAAAAATGATGGTTCATCAAGGGTTCTTTAGTAAAGAAAATGGTTCTATACAGAACCATGGACACTCAAAGAATCCTTTTCATGATTAAAGGGTTTTTTACATCATGAAAGGGTTCTTCCGATTGATGGAGAATGTGCGAGCTTGACATCGTAGCAATAGAAGAACCCTTTTCAAAAACGTTCTATATAGAATCATCTACAGCACATTCTGAAGAGCACTTTAATCATGCAAAGGGTTCTTTGAGTGTTCATGCTTCTGTATAGAACAATGGGGATTTACTAAAGAACCCTTAAAGAACGTTTTTCAGAGTGCAAAGTAAATAAAGGGCTGATGTGAATATAATACATGAATATAAGGTCTTTTTGCTCTTAATTGTGCTCAGTTGTCTTTTGTCTTTTTATCTTAATTGTAATGTTTGACTCTCCACTGATTTTACTGTAATTTGTCCAATAGAATTAAAAACTGTTGATGTTTAAAATTGGGGTTAATGTCAGCATTATTAAGGAATGTTGGACCTGCTGGGATGTTTTCAGTGTTTTGAGTTTAGCCTCTTTGCTGAAGTTGCTGTCCTGCGCGTTCTTACATAACCCAGCCGTGATGTAATCTGTCAAAGTTAAAGTTTTCCTCAGGTTTAAAGTTACTGAGGCTCCTTAAGCTGACATGATTATGGGTTCTGTTTCTGACAGCAGTGTGACAGATGATCATGAACATTTCTCTGTTTACACAAACACAGGATACATTCAGGACCTGTATACAGGTGTTTAGAGCACAATGCTAATGGCTAAGCTAATGCACAGGTTGCATGAAAAATCCATTTCAGTACAAAAAGAAATCTAATTTTAGCTTTTATAGCTTGTTGACAAAACATAGTTATAGCTATTCTACACAAAAGTAACCTAATAGATCACATACAGGGACGAGCTTTAACTACTGGTTTCCCAGATGTGGATTAAGCCTAATCCTGGAGTGAATATCAGTGACAGCAGAGAATTACCATTGGAAATGCTTGTTAGTTTAGGCCTAGGCTTAAAGGGGAATCCCACTGATTTTATAACATTTCTGCATAATCCATTTACTGAGATGTAAACAAAGTCATCCAGAGTGGTTTAGAGAAGGTTACCATCCTGGATTGGCCACTTTAGGTTTGTATTTTAATAGTTGCAAATGACAAACAAGAAAAGACAATTTTAGTTGTTAAGCGCAAACATTTATATGACAATTAATTGTAAGCTAAAATTAAATGATCGCTAAAGCCCTCATGATTGAAACCAGGCGTCCGTAGAGTTTATTGCCTCTTAAATCTATTATATGAAATGGTTATGAATACACTGTCTGACGCCCAAGACTCACGCTCATCAGTGGATATTGATGTATTAATGGCTAAGCATGCAAACCCATTATGTCTCAGTTGATACGCGATCAGGGGCCATATATGTAGGTGACTTTGTTAGTTTGGCAACCATGGTGGAGGATTTTGTCTAAGCAGGTTTTGTAACTGTGGAAACAACTGTCTGAGCCAGTAGTTTAATCTTAGCATATTAAATTCAACATTTCTGCACATCACTGGTTTAAAAATAGGATATGTAGCGTCACCATGAGGCTCAAAACATTGTGAAATTACCTCATAATAATACCTCATAAATGACAGAAAAATACCTCATAAATTACAGAAATGAAAGGGTTTCATGGCCAAATTGCAGATCACTTAAGTTGAACTATATCATGAGCTCAGCTCAGGTCAAAAGGTCAAAGTACAAAGTTTTATTGGTTTTCTAAGTGAAAAAGACCATAAGTTAACACATCCTCTATAGAGAACTGCACAGTTTAATGCACAATAACCGTTTATTTTCTGAATTTTATTGTTGAAAATGTTAAACTCAGCAAATAGATAGATAGACAGACAGACAGACAGACAGACAGACAACGATCAGGCATAACATTATGACCACCTCCTTGTTTCTACGCTCATTGTCCATTTTATCAGCTCCACTTACTATATAGGTGCAATTTGTAGTTCTACAGTTACAGACTGTAGTCCATCTGTTTCTCTGCATACTTTGTTAGCCCCCTTTTACCCTGTTCTTCAGTGGTCAGGACCCCCATGGACCCTCAAAGAGCAGGTACTATTTGGGTGGTGGATCATTCTCAGCTCTGCAGTAACACTGACGTGGTGGTGGTGTGTTAGTGTGTGTTGCGCTGGTCTGAGTGGATCAGACACAGCAGTGCTGCTGGAGTTTTTAAACACCTCAGTGTCACTGCTGCACTGAGAATAGTCCACCAACCAAAAATATCCAGCCAACAGCGTCCTGTGGGCAGCGTCCTGTGACCATTGATGAAGGACTAGAGGATGACCAACACAAACTGTGCAGCAGCGGATGAGCTATCGTCTCTGACTTTACATCTACAAGGTGGACTGACAAGGTAGGAGTGTCTAATAGAGTGGACAGTGAGTGGACACTGTTTAAAAACTCCAGCAGCACTGCTGTGTCTGATCCACTCAGACCAGCACAGCACACACTAACACACCACCACCACGTCAGTGTTACTGCAGTTTCTTATGCATTAATAAATGGTACCATTTCAATTATTAACCATTTCCTCTGTGACATACAAGTAGTCAATACTAGGTATTGAAATCTAATCATTATTTATCTAATCTAATCATCTAATCTAATCTAATCATGAATTATATTTCGTTAATAATGATGTAGTTATTCAATACTAACTCATACATTATACATTATTATATGCTAAGCATTTACAGTTGTGTGCAAAATCATGAACACCCGTGTTTACATTTCATGCTTTTGATGATTTTCTAGTAAATTGGCGTAATAAAATTAGCAATTAGCAGAAAATGCCACATGTAAGTGTGCTCTCTGTGGAGGATGTGTTAACTTCTGTTCACAAAGAAAATCAATAAGACTTAATTCGACCAGGGCTGTTCAAACTTCTGCATACGACTGTACTTAGTTGCCTTAAAGCACATACAGTAAACCTGAACAAATAATAATCAATGAAACAGCCTCACAATCATCCATCATAAAATATTCATTAAGATTTCGAGATATTTCACCATTAGATCTAACACAGTGTGGTAGAATGTGACCAAAACAGGGAAAAATAATAATGAATAATACCAACAATTCAACCTTTTCTAATAACATTCCTCCACACAGTCACTACAGCGATAGAAGTGTAATGACAAAGATTTACAACATTGCACTCATTTCAATTTGACTGACTTAGTAATATGACCTCCTACAATGGCAGCGTTAAGTGACTGGATTACAGAAAAGAAAGGACTCATCTTTGATTAATGGACATGTCTTCAATTGATCAGTAGACTTATCTTTGATTAATGGACTCATCTTTGATTAATGGACTCATCTTTGATTAAAGGACTCATCTTTGATTAATGGACTTGTCTTTGATTGATCAATGGACTCATCTTTGATTAATAATTTCATTTCAGAACAGTCATTATTGCCCTTATTATGCAAGAAAATGATTTTGAGATTCAGTTATTTTGAAGAGCTGTTTGAAGCTGTCTGAACAAAACCTCAAATCTCATATTAGGCTGTTTATCAGGGCCTGTTATAAAGTGTTAACTAAGAATTTACTTCTTGTTGGGCACTTATGCAATATAATATATCATTTATGTTCTAATGATCTTTTTTTATGGTCCACTATGTAGTTCTTAACTTTTACTCTACAATATAAGCAAAACTGACCTCATTTTGTTGTTTTAAAGGACAAAAATAGCTGACTCCTCATGTGGCTGATTAACTACACTCTTAAAAAACAATTCTTTAACGGTTCTTTAGTAATGACAATGGTTCTATATAGAACCATGGATACTCAAATGATTCTTAATGTAAGTTACTCACTGTGAACTTCATATATATACATTGGTTCTGTATTGAAACAAAATACAACACATTCTCCATCAATCTGAAGAACCATTTCACCATGTAAAGAACCATCTAAACATGCAGATGGTTCTTTGAGTGTTCATGGTTCCTTACTAAAGAACTCTTGAAGAACCATCTTTTTAATAGTGAGTAAATAAAGGAGCCGATGTCAATATAATGCATTGTCTTTTCATCTTAACCGTAATGGTTGATTTAATAATTTGTTCAATAGAATTAAAAACTGTTGATGTTTAAAATTGGGGTTAATGTCAGCATTATTAAGGAATGTTGGACCTGCTGGGATGTTTTCAGTGTTTTGAGTTTAGCCTCTTTGCTGAAGTTGCTGTCCTGCGCGTTCTTACATAACCCAGCCGTGATGTAATCTGTCAAAGTTAAAGTTTTCCTCAGGTTTAAAGTTACTGAGGCTCCTTAAGCTGACATGATTATGGGTTCTGTTTCTGACAGCAGTGTGACAGATGATCATGAACGTTTCTCTGTTTACACAAACACAGGATACATTCAGAACCTGTTTATAGGTGTTTAGAGCACAATGCTAATGGCTAAGCTAATGCACAGGTTGCATGAAAAATCCATTTCAGTACAAAAAGAAATCTAATTTTAGCTTTTTTATAGCTTGTTGACAAAACATAGTTATAGCTATTCTACACAGAATAACCTAGTAGATCACATAACGGACGAGCTTTAATTACTGGTTTCCCAGATGTGGGTTAAGCCTAATCCTGGAGTGAATATCAGTGTCAGCAGAGAATTACCATTGGAAATGCTTGTTAGTTTTGGCCTAGGCTTAAAGGGGAATCCCACCAATTGTCCAAAATTTCTGCATAATCCATTTACTGAGATGTAAACAAAATCATCCAGAGTGGTTTAATGTGAAACAGTTCATTGTGGAGAAGCTTACCGTCCTGTATGTAGCCCCCCATCATGAATGTATTTTAAAAATAGATATGTTTTCAACCAAAACCTTCTCAAAACTACTGTAAAACAATAATGTCTCAGACATCACTCAACATATTCATAATGATTTAATGTAATAACTATCTGTGAGGGACTTTTTAAAGGCATTAAACGATTTTGAACGTCTGGTTCCTATCACCACCACAGTGAACAATTCTGACTCTACATTGTTAAAAAAGATGCTTCCTCAAGGGTTCTTTAGTAAAAAAACATGGTTCTATACAGAACCATTAACACTCAAAGAACACTTTGCATGATTAAAGGTTCTTTGCACCATGAAAGTGTTCTTCAGATTGATGGAAAATATGCTGTAGATGGTTCTAAATAGCACCAAAATGGGTTCTGCTAGTGTTTCCTGCTAATGTCAAACTTGTAAAAATAGAAGAACCCTTTTTGGTGCTATATAGAACTGTTTTCAAAAAGGTTCTATATAGAACCATCTACAGCACATTCTCCATCAATCTGAAGAACTCTTTCAAGATGCAAAGAACGCTTTAATCATGCAAAGTCTCCTTTGAGTGTTCATGGTTCTATACAGAACTATTTACTTTAGTTAAGAACCCTTGAAGAACCATCTTTTTTAAGCATGTACAACAGATCAAACCACTCAATGACTTTGTTTACACCTTAAAGCTTTAACTGTGCAGAAATTTTATAAAATCAGTGGACATTTAATCTTAAGCTAGAAAACAAGCCGTATGAGTTTAAGTACGCAGTCATTTCAGTTCATAGCAAAGAATTGAACAGCATAACTGCATTCTGTGTCTTTTAATGTTAGGATAATATCCAGCATAGATATCAGTGTAGCATCATTAATAAGTTAATAGTGCATTGATCATTTCTCTATTCAGCTGCTGCAGGTATTATTGCTATGGAAATGTCTTGTTGGATGCAATGATGAATCTGCAGTGCTACTATACCTGTCATATTAACATCTGCAGTGAATGTACATTCAGCTTGATGAAACATCAACAGGCAGGTCTTCATGGTTGGTCAGACAGATCACTCCCACCTATCCCTGAAAATAAAAGTGTCTTCACTTCTCGGCTTCAGATCCTCCCAGATCCTGTCGACAGGCTGACCTGTGAGTACCTACCTGTTCATCTTCATCTTTTAAGGTTGACTCATTATTTCTCCTTTAATCTGTGCTCTGTACTTCTATTTTATGCTGTTTTACATTGTGAGGTCTTGTGCATGTTCTATTATATTCCTTGTAAAATATTTACTAGGTTGCTAGAATAGCAGTAGTTATGAATTTTGAGTGCTGTGCTGTTACTGTGCTCCATGCTAGGGTCATCACTTTTCAGATACAGCTCCTTTAATGCTGGACCCTTGTTTAGATTCTTATATAATGGATTATTTTTGCAGCTGTGGTGTAACATTGCAGCTGCTGACCTGTATCAGCAGGATTGTTTGTGCACAGACTGAATAATGGACAGGCCAACTCCAAATAAGCACCGTCTTCCTGACATTGTTCCTAAAGTAATTTGGCTCGGCTTTAGAGCAGTGTTGAGGTTCCTGTGCCTAAGCAGCATTTCTTATGTGCTTTAGTTGTGTTGTGCAGTAATAGGTCTTTCAAAGGGGAATTCCACCAAATTTTTTTTTTGTAGTTTCTGTGTAATTCAGTCATTGAGATCAAATGATTTGATGTAAAATGGTTCATTGTAAGAAACTGATTCAGTTTCTTTACAGTGGTGGTGATAGGAACCTGCACCAGGTTTGCGTAGGTTTATGCTTAACTTTGTGCGTAAAGTCTTGACTGAGTGTAAAGATATTTAGTAACTCCTTAAAACTAGTTTGTGGTGCAACCCATTTTGATTTAGTAATACATAAACCTGAACTCAGTAAACACTTACATTACAACTAGCCCACGTCCGGCCACAGGAGGTTGTGGTGTCTACAACCCAAATATGGCTGTTTAACTGTCTTACAGTGTTCTGCATGGAGCTCCCTTCCCACCATGAATGGATAAAAAAAACAAAAAAAACAAAACATTTTAAGCCAAAACCTTCTCAAAATTATTATAACCATTTAATGTAATATCTTTCTATAAGAGAGCTTTTAGAGGTGGATGTCTGGTTCCTATCACCACCACTGTGAGCAAAGCTCATTATGTTTCTTTAGAAAGGAGCACTTCACACCAAACCACTGTTTACGTCCTAACTATTATATGAAATTCATTGAAATAGTGGAATTCCCCTTTAAAGGCAGTGCACAATTCAATTGTTGAAAGCAACAGGGTCACTTTCAGACATCTATAAGATCTGATCCTGCTCATGCAGTGAATGTTTAACCAGGCGACTGGGTAATTATTGTGTAAGTGAGTCACACACCCAGACCAAACACCAGGAAAAGTTGCATGGGGATCACTAAAAAGTGCAATTAAAACATTCCTACATTATTCAAAAGATGAAAAAGCTGTATTGTCTAATTTGGACATGCATATTTCCTTCATAGAGGAGTGCCTCTCATGTGTAAGAAGGATTTTTTTGACCATGACATTGAAATGTTAACCATAATAATTAATAATTTACTAATTCCTGTGAGGGGCTGGTGAACACAGATTGTCTTACGTCTGTGACTGTCTTCAGCACGTGGTTGTGTGTAGTACAGTGTGCTGTAAAGTACAGTACTTGTTCTAGGCCAGATCTTCAAGTTCCTAAGTGGTTGTTAGCTTGTATGTACAGTTACACTCTTGTACTGGGCCAAAAGTAAACTGGGCCAGAAAGTCTTTTCTTTGACCAGAACCATAGAAGAACCCCAAAGAAACAGGTTTGAAAAAGAAGTTTGTGCTTGTGAAGAACATTTTAAAGGTTTTAACATATACCCTTGAAAAAAGAGGTTCTTCACAGGTTCTTTGGCACAGGCAACAGAGAACCATGAATGCTTAAAATGTTCTTTTCTTTGATGTCCTACACAGCAGCAAAAATGATTCCACCATTGTTTCAAGTCAAAGAGCTCTTATTGTAATGCAGAGGTTTCTTACCAATCTAAAGGTTCTTCCTAGAACATTTTAATGATTTCAAGGTTCTGTAACTTCAAAAAAAAGTTTTGTTTTTTTTTATTGATGCCATCAAAGAAACATTTCAGTTCTAATGTAGAGGTTCTTCACCAGTTTGAGGATTCTTCTAAGAAACTTTAAATTGTGTAGGGGGTCTTTAAAATTTAAAAAGGTTTTTCTAAATCACATCTCACTCCAAAGTGGTTCTTCTATGGCATCACACAAACAATTTTTTCTGACACCTTTATTTTTAAAAGTGCAGATAAACTTCCAAATGGTTTAGAATGTTTAAATTACATGAAGGTTCCTGATACTTTAAAAAGTTTCTTCACACACGCATAACTGCAAAAAGTGGTTCTTCAGTGGCATCTTACACAAAAAAACAGTTTTCACACTTTTATTTTTAGGCAGGTAGAAAAAAACATTAATTGGTATTGAAACTTATGTAATGTGATGGGTCTTTAAAATCATTTCGGGTCTTTATCTCTTTTTGCATAAAATAGTTCCTAAAAGAGCTATCCATTTAAAATTATTTAGGGCAGTGGTTCTCAAACTGGTCCTCAGGGACCCCCAGACAGCCCCCATTATATATGCATTCCTACACTGTTAGAAATAAAGGTTCTGTGCTGGTACATTTTTCATTCATCAAGGTACAAACAATATAAATGTGCCCTCAAAGGTACAACAGTGGTTTTAAGGTCTGATTGTGAACCTTAAATCAGTTTTTCCAGGTGAAAAGTTCGTATTTGTACCTTTTCATAACCGAATGTTTTAAAACAGAACAGTAAAATAAAAGTCCTGGAGACGAGACGGGGTGTGTGGAGTCAGTACAGCTTAGAACATATCATTTCAGTGGATTATGGTTCAGTTATGTTCCCTGACTAAAGGCACTGAGATGGACCCCAGTGACAAGAGGGGTCCTGCCCCAGTGACAGTTTTGTACCTTTATTTCTGAGAGTGCATGTGTTGAAAGTTGGATGGGTGGAAATATCTGGACCATCCAGTCTTCAAGGACCAGTTTAAGAATCACTCACTTAGGGAACCAAAACTGATTTTTCTGTGGTGTCACACTGAGGCTTTATTGATACCTTTATTTTTAGGATGTTGTATGATTTGTATCTTTACTTTGGTTGTTCACCCTTTTTTCCTTTTTGCTCTACTTCTTTTAGAAATTTCTGCAGAAGGTTCCACACCAAAGAGAGATCCGACATGTCTCTGCTCACTCATGTGTTGGCCTGCCTGTTTGGAATGGGATCTTGGGTGACCATCTGTGGGCTATGGGTTGAGCTGCCCCTCATCGTTCCTCAGGTTCCTGAAGGCTGGTACCTTCCCTCCTACCTCTCGGTCCTGATCCAAGTGGCTAACATCGGACCTCTGTTTGTCACTTTGATGCACCGATTCCGGCCAGGAAAGCTCAATGAAGTCGCTGTCATCTACTTCATTGTCAGTTTTGGGATGCTGGCAAGCCTTCTCCTGGGTTTCTTTTGGAAGGAGACAGTCGTGGTGCAAGGAGTTCAGCGCAGTATTCCTCTCTTGCTTCTAACCTTCTTCATCTCCATAGTGGACTGCACCTCGTCTGTAACTTTCCTGCCCTTCATGATGCAGCTGAAGCCAGAGTATCTCACCACCTATTACATAGGTGAAGGTTTAAGTGGCCTTGTTCCAGCCTTAGTGGCTCTGATTCAGGGAGTTGGTGTCATGCAGTGTGTCAACAGCACTCAGAACCTAAATCTCAATGAGACAGCACAGCTCCAGGGCTGGAATGAGTCAGCAGAACCCCTCAACTACCTCGTACCACTCTACCTACCTGCCAAGTTCTCAGCTGAGGCCTTCTTTTTCTTTCTGGCAGCCATGATGCTTGTTTGCTTGGTGGCCTTCCTACTTTTGAACCACCTTCCAGTCGTGACTCGAGAGCGTCCCGTCAGCCGGAGCCGCCGGGGCGTCGTTGCAAGGAATGCGAAAGCTCCAGAGCGGAAACCCATGATGAAATCCCTGAAAGGTGAACAGAAGATCACCAGCAAGTTTGGAACAGGAATATACAGCTGGCCACAAGTAGTGTACATCTTCATCATCCTGGCCTGGGCAAATGCTCTGACCAACTCTGTATTGCCATCCATTCAGTCCTACTCATGTCTGCCTTATGGAAACCAAGCTTATCATTGGTCAGCCACTATGGCCTCTGTAGCAAACCCTGTAGCCTGCTTCATTGCCATGTTCTACTCTCAAAGGTGAGTAACAATACTCTACATAGGGCTTTTATTTATAGTATTTGTTTGCAGACAGAGTGCTTGTAATAGCATTTTGGTTATGGCTTAATTGTGTAAAGTATTTGAACAAAATTCATAATTTCTTCAATAAGGAACCTGCAGTGCTGTTGAGCCTAAACATACATCATCGCTTTCCAAAGAAAAACATCGCCATTTTTGTCAATTTTTATTTTTTTCTACGACATTTGAACCCGGCAGTTCTCCTTGATATTGTTTGAAAATTTCTTGATGATTGGACCAATAGAAATGCCCTGAAATTAGAATAAAATCTCTTTACATTAACTTACGTTAAAAGTTAAGGGCCTTTTTGCCCTCCCCTGTTAAGTTACTATTTTGGACAGACATGTTTTTCTTTGGACAGGAACAATATGTATTTGAGGGAGGAGCATGCAAAATGTGTGTGGACATATCGGAAGTGCCACAGATTAAATATTCTGCTCAATTTAGGGTGTTTTCATACTTGAGTCCATACCCAGGACCGATTCTGGGCTCGTTTAGGGGAGGGGCTCATTATCGCTGGTTTGGTTTCACACACAAGACTTCCATCCAAACAGTGGATTGATTGTGCAGTTTTACACATCATTTTTCTGTGTGTAGGTGTGTAAAATGGTTGGCACTAGCTTTATTCGTTTGCTTTTTATTATTTTCTTTGGATACAAACACTCAAACGGCAAAGTACACTGCCTTTTGTCCACAACAATCCTTTTCCCACTGTTACGTAACTTGAAAAGGGAAGTGACACCATAAGTCGAAGTAGTCACGTTACAAAATGGACCAATCACGCAACCCCACACGTGGCGCCAGGAGCCGATAGCTTACACATGCACAGTGGACCGCACCACAGTTTATTGGGAGCAAACCCAAGACCACCGATTTCAAGGAGGGCCAGAGATCGGTTTCTCTGGACCACTACCAGGCTCAAAAAACAGCTTTCACACTTGACCAAACATACTGAACTCGCAGAGCAAGTGGCCCTGGGTCCGGAAAAATAACTATAGTGTTAAAAATGCCCTTACTACAGTTTGAGCTGGTGACCAGTTCTTTGTTGATTTTCCTCCGCCTTTGAAAAACAGATGTAAATTTGTGTCACAAATGACGTTTCTGCACTTTCTTTAACAAAATCTGCTGTGATGTGGCCACAATATGCATGGACCCATGTTGCTTCACTAGCTCTGTTCACTTAGCTGGAGTAGAATAACATCTCTCTGAATGTTTTGGTGGGAAATAGCTTTATTTGTTAGCACCGTTATGTCTACATGACTGAACCTTCTCTGTTTTGTCTGGAGCTTGTTGACGGCACCTTTATGTCACTGCACCTTTTAAACCCTGCCCCAAGCGAGCAGTTAGTGGCCAGGGCTATGCACAGTTTGTGTTAAAAGGTGCAGTCCTAGAAAATTGGCCATTAGTTTCAGGCACACTGTGAGCGCATATTGTGGTCACATCAAGGCACATTTTATCTATATCTGACCCACTTTTTAAAAAACTGACAAATTTGTTTTTGACCACAGTGTAAAAGAGTGAACATCTGCACAACTAATGTAAAATATCACTACTGTCGGAACAAAACCTTGCATCTCCAGAATGGTAACTTTACAGGAGGAGGAAAGAACATATTTTACTTTTAATGTAAGTCAATGGAACCAGACACCAGACACCAGTAATTTTGGGACATTTAATTTGGTCAGTTTATCATGGAATTTATCCACAGTGTAAAGGACAACAATAATGGGTTTTGTTCCAACAGCAGAAATGTATTTTTTTCAAACAATATCTAGTATGTTTTGATGAATCTGCGCATACAAATCCCAAAAAATTGACTGTTTTGTATTTATTTGGGGTTTATGTAGTTCTCTCATTGTTTACTTAGGGGGTGTAAATTGTAACAGAGTTAAAACTAACCCCGCTGTGTGGAGGCTGCCATTTAGCCTAGTTAGCTCACACTATGAGTTGCTTATGTACTTCAAAACAGTTCTATAACACAGCCACAAAGAGGGAGGTTCAAATTATATGAGTGAATTCTGTGATTTATAAACACAACTCAGTAATCAAAAACTCCTAGGATACTGTTTTTATGGTACAAAAACAGTCTGCAGGGTAAATCTGAAGAAATGTCTGTCTGATTGCTGTGAAAATGCGAGATGGTGACCAAAAGCACATTTTCTTCTTGACTCGTTAGTTAGTTAACCTTATGAAATTTAATTTTAGTGGCACTTAAGTTACTTTGATAACTGGTGTGTCTGAGTTTTTGCACATTGTATTTTATATGTTTTCTACTGTTTATTGTATTCATCCTGTGCAACCTGGTGATCCAAAGCCCTGGGAGTTTTTTACTGTACTGAGAGCTGCCAGATTAACAACTGCAATCCTAACCAGTTCTTCTTATGTCTGTCCAACAGGTCGTTGGTGCTGATGGGCATTCTAAGTGGTTTTGGTTCACTTATTGGGATGTATATCATGGGCATGGCAGTGCTGAGCCCCTGCCCGCTGCTGGTCAATGACACCTCTGGAGTCGTTCTAATAGTAAGTCTTGTATCTCATTAAATGCACTTTAATGCACCTCTAACTTTGTATTTTATTTATTTTAATATACACTGGTGTACACTGAGTTGCCAGTTAGGGCGTTTTTCCACTGCATAAAGTACCAGAATCTGTGACACCTTTAAACTGGAACAGTGCTTTTTCCATTAGCCTGCGCTCTTAAAAAAGATGGTTCTTCAAGGGTTCTTTAGTCAAGACAATGGTTATACATAGAACCATGAACACACAAAAAACCATGTGCATGCTTAAATTGTTCTTTGCATGTTGAAATTGTGCTTCACATTGATGGAATATGTGTTTTTATGATTTTATGTAGAACCTTTTGAAAATGGTTCTATATAGCACCAAAAAGGGTTCTTCTGTTGTTACAAGCTTGACATTGTAACGATAGAAAAAACCCTTTTTGGTGCTATTTAGAACCATATACAACGCATTCTCCCTCAGTCTGAACCATTTCACCATGCGGAGAACACTTTAAGCATGCCAATGGTTCTTTGTCTGTGGTTCTTTTCAGAATGATTATCTTTGCCAAAGAACCCTCAACCAACTTTTTTAAGAGCGCAGTACTGAAGGTTCCAGTTTTATGGTTTTTGGTATCTGCTCAAGATTGGCACGAACAGGACTTTATAATACTTCTGTTATGTGTTCTCCTCTGTTCTTGATAACTCTTGCAACTATTCTTTAATCTTCCAGGTAAAGATAAAGTTACTAAGCACTATTACAACATCAGTCAGAGCCCCAGAATGTAAACTAGGATGGTATGTTGATGTATTGATTGCTAGTTTTATTATTATTACTTTGTAAAGAGTTCACTATGGTGACAAGCTAGTTAGGAAGCAAATGCTTCACAAAAAGCACCAAAAAGCTTGACGTCATAACAATAGCAGAACCCATTATGGTGCTACATAGAACCTTTAAAAAAGGTGACACATAGAGCCATCTACAACACATTCTATATCAATCTGAAGAACCCTTTCATGATGCAAACAACCCTTTAAGAATGCAATGGGTTCTTTGTGTGTGTTTGGTTCTTTACTAAAGAATCCTTAAAGAACCATCATTTGTAAGAGTGATGGAGGTGTTTGATAAGGACAACGAACTTAGCACAACAGTAGACTGAGCTCGACTCGTTTTCAGGTTTTCTTATTGTTAGGCAAACACAGGAAGGGTCCACTTCTAAACTCTCATTCACACACTGAACAAACAAAAGCTAAAGCTTTTTTTTTCTCAGTAAATCTATTACATTTTAGGTAGTTTTGCAGTTGACATTATATTTTTGATTTAGCTTTTGTGTTGTTGAAAACCCATTTTTTATTTTTATTACAGTTAGCAAGCACATTTCTGCACTGTAGGTTTTCGTGTTAGTAATAGTTTTAGTTCACTATAATAACACTTTTCAAACAAGTGGAAAATGAATCAGAAATAGAACCATGAGTTCCATCGTCTCTCTCTGGGTCCGTTCTTGTTTTTGCATGTGTAGTGGAAAAATGCCCTTAGGACATTTCATTCATACTTCCTGGCCATTTTATCAGAAACACCTAGGTGCACTTTGATATACAGTTACCTTGGCCCATCTGTTGCTGCCTAGTTTATTAACTCATTCAACTTTCTATCAGTGAACGGGGACCACCTTAGGACCACCACAGACACATAATGACACAACACTCAATAGATACAGAGTGCATCTATGTGTTTCTGATAAAATGGCCAAGGACTGTAGGTACAAGGTTGATGTTACCTGCTAAACTGGCAGCTCAACGCATGTAATTTAAAAGATCATACTTTTAAATTCATTTCAGGAGTCTATGTCTTGAACTCTGCTTGAGGGTAGTGCTTTTTGATAGTAGTACTGTTCTTCTGCAACAGGTGGCAGCCTGGACCGTCTTTGTTCTCACGCTGTCCTATGTGAAGGTAATGGTTGCAGTGATCCTACGTGACGAAGGCCACAGCGCCCTCGTCTGGTGTGGAGCAGTAGTGCAGTTGGGGTCGATGCTGGGGGCCGTTATAATGTTCCCTTTAGTCAATGTGTACAGCTTGTTCTCCTCAGGAGACCCATGTAACACTAAGTGTTGATGCAAAAAAAGTCTACTAGACGTGTGAGTCCAGCTTTACCAAGAGATACTAAACTGTTTATTTTTAATAGGAATGTTTTATACAAATAATTGTAGTGATGTGCTGAGAATGTGGTCATTATTCTGTAAAGTAGCCCTTTTGTAATATAAGCTGTGTGTAATTCCCTTTGGTTTGTGCTGTTTTATAAGACTTTAAGGAGAATTCCAGTGATATTTCAAAATTTCTGCATAATTGTGTGATTGAGATGTAAACAGAGTCATTCAGAGCGGTTTGGTGTGAAATCGTTGATTTCTTTACAGTGGTGGTGATAGGAACCAGGGGTCGCCATGACTACAACACAAATATAGACATTTTATTTACTATACAAAACCACCAGTGAACCTACACGTCTGGTTCCTGTCACCACCACTGTGAACCATTCTGACTCGGTAAGTTTCACTAGAACGGAGCATTTCACACCAAACCACTCTGAAAGACTTTGTTTACATCTTAACTATTTAATTATGTAAAAAAAATATATATGTACACTACCACTCAAACGTTTGGGGCCACTTGTTATAATAGTTGTTATTCAGTAATAACTCATATTGTAGATCGAAATGCTTTAAAACTAGACAATGAAATTTAAACCAACACTTTATTCACAGTTCACATTTTTTAGGAACAACAAAGTTACATCAAGAAGGGTCTGGGTTCGATTCCCTGGCTGGGTGACCAGGGTCCCTTCTGAATGGAGTTTGCATGCTCTCCCCGTGTCTAAACAGTCCAAAGTCATGCAGTCAGGCGAACTGGAGAAGCTAAATTGGCCCTAGGAGTGAATGTATATGTCTGTGTGTCTGCCCTGTGGTGGACTGGCAACTTATCATAATAAAATGTCTTTATTTTTACAGATAATGACAGTGATTATTCAGTGTCTCATTTAAGGATTAGTTACAGCTCTGGACTAACGCAGAATGGAAAGCAATGGATTGACATTGACAATTAATTAAATCCTGAATTTAAAATGTTGGTTAGCTGGGCATTCTGGGTAATATGGATGCACATCTCTCAGTTAATACTAACCATCAAGTATTTAGCCAAGAGTATAAATAGTATTTTTGAAAATGTATAAAAGGAAATTTGGTTGAGCCAGTTTGAACAGGCCTGATGCAGCTGATAAAAATAATAACAGTATTATCTATATTTTAAAATATTGTTTGTTCATACCTCGCTCTGTTCTGTACTGGTCTACTTATTCTTAGACTGACAAATGGAGCAAAAGGAGGGAGGATTGTAGGGAGGGCCAGTGGGGTGTCAGGTGTGACTGTGGCAACTGCAAACGGCTCACGGGTCAGGTAGGAGGTCTGGACCAGCTCTGGAGCCAGATCATCACCAAGACAAACAGTATTGACAATGTGTCAGTGCTGTGATAGTTAAACGGCATTTCATCCTAAAACTAATATGTAATATGTTGATATGTTATTGCAGTATTCAGCACTGGATCCCTTCAGCCTCATCAGTTTAACAGAATTCATGATTATGTCCCCTTTTTTATCTTTTTGCCCATCAGTGTTCTCTCACTACAATACCCAGCATGCATTACATCATGCAATTATATTATACAACTATTTGGACTGGGATAAAGAAATCCTGACTGCTAGCCACTCATGTACAGGCTAACAACTACAGCTGATATTCAGCTAGCATTAATGTCAGCTATCTGGCTTCCCTCTGAATTAGCCAGCTAGCGTGAAAAAAGAAAATGCCCCTAAATTATCTTTTTGAAGTCCCTTCCACCTTCAAGATATGTCATGAGAAGAGCGTTTTCCTGGTCTTGAAACCTGAAACTCTCACTCTAGGTCAGCGGTCATCAACTGGTGGAATCAGCAAAGTATTTTAGCAACATAATAGCTGCGTTCCAAAGCCGAGGCTGCAGCTGAAGTAGTACAGGTCCTCGGTAGGACCGTCCTATGAAGAATCCTCCTTAGTAGCCTATTGGTCACACAAATGGAGCCGTCCTAACAAGGCTGCGTGGTGACGCCACCAGAGCGGCGCCAAACTGGTGAGGGAGCTGGTGAGAGAAAATGGGGCCCGATTGTGTTGGTTGCTTTTTCATTTCTTCACGGAAATCGAGGAGATTTTCTTATGTAGTACGATAAACTACACATACACAAATACTTCTAAATAAAATACGATTTACAGATGATATACGATATTTAGACGAATGCCTTAATCGATCAGTTACACTTCACAAGGTAGCAAAGATGAATTCAAGTACGTGAACAGCTTACATTTTAAAACAAGCTCTGCTCCAACGGCTCTGTTTTCCGCTAATTTTTATGGTGCTGTTTTTTTCCCTTCGCGTCATTCGTGCGCAGAGAACTGTGGGTAACCGAAGACCTGGAAGGATACATCTGATGCATCCTTGAAATCACTCAGAATGTGGGCTGCATTTCTAGACTGTATAGGAAGGGTCCTTCACTTTGTAACAGCCTGCTATGACGTAGCGGGTGAGAAACGCAGCCTACCTCGGCTGCAGCCCAGGCTTTGGAACGCAGCTAATGTTTATGAACACTTGAAAAACATTATGTTGCAAAGCCGATTATACAGTGATCATATTTGATGAGCTGACATACATAAACCAGCGTGGCTTCTGTGGCAGTCCTGTGTTACAGTTTATCCAATCACATGCATTTACAGTGTAAGCAAGCTCATCAAAACAGATTACAGGGCTGGATATCAGGTCAGAAAAAGAACAATTTCTCACACATTTTTAATTAGTTATTTCTGGTCTGAGCAGTGAAGTGACAACATTACTTGTTAAAACAAGGGGAAAGGCAGTGATGAAAGCAAAAATGTTTTAAAAAGAATGAACAGAACATTTTTATTCCCATGTCAGATTCAGAAACGATGTGTGTTCTGTTCAGAGTGCATGTCACTGGTCAAAAAGTGGAAATGTTAAAAGGGAACTCTACTGATTTTTCAAAAGTGCTTTGTGGTTTAGTGGTTGAGATTTTATCCAGAAGTCATTCAGAGTGATTTGGTGTGAAATGGTTGATTGTAGAGACTCAGATCTGATGGGAACCAGGGGTCACCATGTCTACAACACAAATATAGCCATTTTATTTACCATCTAAAACCACCAGCGAACCTACACGAGTCTTCTGAATTTTTATATAGAATGTTGATGATAGTGAAATAGTGATAAATCTGAAAAAGGTTTTCTTTGGAGACTATTTTGCCTAATAACACTTTGCATGTACATTTCCACCAAAACCTGATCTCAAACCTATCATAAAACAATGTCAGAAATCAGGCAGTGTATTCATAAACATTTCATGTAATAACTTTCTGTGAGGGAGCTTTTAGAGCCAAAACCACCAAACCACTCTAAATGATTTGGATTACACCTTAACCATTTCATTGTAGAGAAAGTTTGAAAATCAGTGGAAGTCCTTTATTTAAGCAAAGGTGCCACTGCGAAATAAAACAAAAGTCCTCACAGATCACAGATAATTACTACGAGGGTGCATGTCATTCAGCAATAGCTTTTATTCATATGACATCATTGTTTTCCAGCATGATTATTCAATACCTGTAAATAAAAGTATTCATCCCTTTGGACTTTTTCATGTTTTATTGTTTTATAGTGGAATTACAGTGAAGTAATTATCCTTTTTTGCAGAATATCAACATAAAAAAAAACGTTTTAATGTCACTGTGAAAACATATATTTACAAAAATTGAAGATATGAAGGGTTTCGTTCCGAAATACATTACAGACTATTTTCATCATCACTTTTCTTGTATTTAATGATATGCATTGTTGTCAACTAGTTATTAAAAAAGTAGTTGCCTAGTTGTCATTATCATTAAAAAACATGAATGATCAGGCATCTGTGAAACATATTTTGTTGGTAGCTTTCTGATAGGGACTATTTTTAGCAGCAGAGGCTGTGCTTTGAGGTTTGAGACATGCACAGCAGAAGAGTTTGTTGTATTTAAGTAGGTTTTACACTCTCCGCTCACAGCAGTACACAGACTGTCTGATGTAAACTGCATGCTAAAATCGCAGCAGCTTTCAGAAACTTAGCTCTCACTGAGAATTTAACCCCTTAAATGGACAGAGCCCACCGGCACTTTTACACAACTCTATATCTTAAGAATAGCTCAGCCAGTTTGCACCGTAAGTCCCTGTAGTTACTGAATAATAGGGGTGCAGGAAAAAATCGATTCTTAGATGCATCGCGATGCGGACGTGAATGATTCTGAATCGATTCAGAAATGTCAAAAATCAATTTTCTAAATATTTAATTTTTAACGTAATGTTGACGGAACGCAAAAGGCGGAACTTGGAAGTGCGGAAGTGCAGCGCCCGGACAGTCTGTGGCGGCACACAACAAAAACACAACTGGATGAGTGAGAAATCTGACCGGCTCCCTCTGCGTTAAAGCCAGGTTAGATCAGGAGTCACAACACAAATGATAAGAAGAGACATTTTGTCCTTTCAACAAAAATCAAACCAGCTTGGGAGCCACAACATTTAATGTCCAGTATGTCTCACTGTGTGATAATGTCCTAGTATAGACTAAACAATATAAACGAGAGCGCAGATTTACTTCGCTCTGCTTTAAGCTTCACCTACAGCCGCTTTCCTCCCATCTCCACCAGAAAACCTTTCCTCAGACATTGATCAGTTAAATGTCTCTCAGCGTTTGACTGTTTTACGAGGCTGAAGTTGCTTCTTATTCTTCAGCTTCTTGTTCGAATTTACCCGTTCCACCTTAAATTCTGACTGAGGCGCCGAATGTAAATGTGGCACCATTTAAGGTGGAACGGGAGAATTCGAAAGAGAAGCTGACTAAAGGCTTCGCAACTATTTAGTGTTTGATAGTCTCTCGTTGAAGATTTAACGTACCAGGAAACCAACTGCGCTGCTTATAAACGCAAATGCATCGCTGCTATGTGACCTGCAGTCTGCACGCCGGATCTCAGTCATTGCGAAACAGGGCTTTTGCGCTATGTTGCACACGACCCGTCTCAAAGATACTTTACTGACACAGCGACCCCCCCGTCTCTACAACGAGACCAAAACCGAAGTTATAAAATCACTGAATTAAACGGGTAGAATAGCTGTAACGCGCTGCATGGAGACTCATCACCACCGGATCTTATTTCACCATAACTGCGCATTTTATCGCAGATGAGTAGCAGCAGCTTCTCGTGCTCCAAACAAGAGCAATGAATGAGAGCTTTCTAGTTCACTAACCACATCACTTCCATTTGTTTTATTAAAAAAGATATTGGAAGTAAATACTTTGCTTTAAAAGTACCAAGTCACTTTAAATAACAATAACACTGAATTACTTAGTCACTTTAAAATGTATATTGTCTCTATATTCTGTGTATATTCTGTGTATATTTAATATATTTCAGTTATTTTTTCTTGTATTTTTATTTTTACTTATTTACTTTCTGTAGAGTGATTAGCTGAGCCTCACCACAAGCATTTCAATGCATAAATGTCCTGACATGTTGAGCAAATGACAAATAAACTTGAAACTTGAACTCGAAACTTGAGCTCACACAGTGAGAAAATAGAAATGCTATATAGAAAAAAAAGATGCATCGATAATCGTTTTATAATCGCATTGCAGCCCTCTGAACCGTAATCGAATCGTGAGGTGCCTAGAGATTCCCACCCCTACTGAATAATAAGCCACAGTATGTAATAAGCCTGGGATTTTAAGGGGTTAAACTGGCTGTGGTCCATGCACTGTCTGAGGACAACAAATGACTGTTTATCAAGCTGAATGCTAGTAGCAAGCAGTTGTATCTCCTCTCATCATTACATCTATAGGCCCATTCATTTGTGGACCGGTGCTCCAAGTTTGTTTTTGTTGCACAGTCATGCTAAATGGCCTGTGATTGATGTTTTGCACAGCCCTTTCCAATCAGGGTTCTTAAAACCTTCGCTGGTCTGGCCTATGAGCCTGTATTTTAGCCCAGTACAGCTTGCAGTTCAATCGGTTTCATTTTGTGTAGCATTTGCACATGAATACTTTTGTGTTTAGCAGAAAAACTAATTTGTGTTCTCTCCTCCACAACCTATCGACTAATAAATCCACTAGTGGACACTGTGGGCAAGAGTCGATTACTTGTGGACAGTGTCTGATTTTTAGTCTATACAACCTCTAACACATGAACTAGAGCTGGGCGATATGGCCAAAAATGTTATCACGATAAAGAAAATTCACATCGTTTAATATCGATACATACCATGATAAATGTGAAATCATTATTTTTTTCAAGTTTGAAGGCTGATTTTTGCTCCTGGGTGGTTAATCGCTGTTTTAAACTATCCTTTATGGTTGGAACACGACAAACACTCACCAAACAGTGGAACATTTCACAGATCTGTCATGGGAGAGTGGGAGAAAGTGTCTGGTGAGCTGTTTTTACCAGCTGGAAAAGCACGGCTATTTTGTAATAGTCATAATCTAAGAAAGAAAACAGATTATTTTTAGCTGGTGCCGAGCGCTCGGCTACCCCGCTACAAATGACATCACAGTATTCAGACACCAGCTAGACGACTGGATATTCAATTGTAGTAGTTTAAGTGGTGAACCGCAAAATATCAACACCAGACAAACAGAGTCCTCTTTTTAGGAACGTTTAAACTGAAATCAGTGCTTTTGTGTCGTGTTTGATCCACAGTATCATTAATTCTCTGTGTTTTGGAGTGACAGAGCGCTGCTTCAAGTTAGCCAGCTGCTAAAAACAGCTAGCCTGGAAAGATAGCGCTCTCCTGCTCTCCAATGCCTCACAGCTTCCTCAGTTTACTGTCGTTTAAATCAGGGCTGTAATTTACATGAACTCACTTCTTTCTTTCACTTTCGTTGCTTGGGAATGCACTAATACTAAAATATGACTGAGCGCTATAATAGTGCTGTAGTTGTGAGGAGCAGATGTGATTTAACGCTGCTAAAGCTGGTTAGGATGTACAGAAAGA